AGGTCAAATATGACAAAAAAAATTTTTTTTGAGTGAAATAAAGAGGGAGGAGGGGAGGTGGGACAAACCCTCCCATATCCACAGGAAAGAATCTGCAACTCAGCGGCTGCAGCTGCCCTAATTACAGTGAGGCTTTGCTGAAGTCTGCAACAAAAAGTCAGGGCAGAGAGAAAGAAAAACCACGAAGAAGGGAGAAGAAAACCTGAAAGTCAGGGTGAGCAGAGTCTGCGGGGGAGTGGTGGAGAGGAGAGGGTTAGTTCAGATTGTAAACAGTCCCTTTATGAGTTAAAGTCACACCAATTTAATGCTGACTACATGAAAACACAGCTGAGCAACATTGCCACAGACTTCATTGCAAATAGGACCAAAAACTCCCCAAAGACCTTCCACTTGGTCATAAATTTATGAAGGAAATTATGTAATATTACATTTCCCACTAATGGAGTTCTGCGAAAAATGTTTTTTTCTGCTTTATTGCATTATTGTCTCACATATTTAAGGTCATTAAGCACATTTAAGACAGGGACAAGCTGAGTAAATAAAAGAATCTCATTTTAGATGATTTATTGAAGGAGAGGAGTCATCAAAACCAAACGGACCCAACGTGGAAAAGTAATCAACCCCAAAGAATTTTGAGCCAGTCTTTTTTGTTCACTTGTTTTTATTTTGACCACATTGGAGCAATCGTCCATTTATGGTCGTAATTCAGCGTTGCCATAAAATCGAGGTCTGAACTTTGACTTCATTTATTCCATTTAGAGGAGCATTTGATTTTATTCAATGCTGTATCAACGGTTACTTATTGACAGATTAGACTTTAGATTTTATTTGTCATTTTGTTTACACAAGTGTAAAACAAAAAGAAAGTTAGTTTGGAACAGCTCTATGGACAATTTCATCTTTTTTAAAAGTGAAGCCTTGAAAAATAGTATAAAAAAGATGGAAAAGAAAGAAAGAACTAAAAGAAAGATGGGCTTTCTCCTTCTGGATTTCCTGGTAATGAGCGGCTTTCATGGCTCCATCGATTACAGCAGGGCTTCTATGTCCCGACCAACAAACTGCTACAAGCATGTTACTGAATCAGTCTGTTTTGAACATACTTGAATAGTTTGAGGTCAGAAATTTTTGGTTTGTCAGTCTGTAGAATACATTCCCAAAAGTCTTTGGGGTCATTAAAATGGTGGTGGTTTTGCTGTTGGAGCGCTACCAAGAATGCCATTTTTTCTCCAGTTTCTCTCTAAATTATGAATTAAAAACACTGGCTCAAAGAGTTGTGTGGGAGGGTTGTGTGGCTTTAGGTGATATTATGGGTTCTTTTAACCTCCTGAATGAATCGTCAAAGCCCTTTAGGAGTAATTTTGCTAGAGATATTTTCATGAATCTTTAAAAAGACCCATCCTCTCCACTTTTTTTTTTTAATGCACATGCACAACCCTGTACCTGCACCCTCGAGAGGGAACGCCTATTAAACGTGTGTGAGAGTATGCACAAGTCCATTTCAGTCATGCACGCTCTGTTTAAAAGTTGCTGTTTTGCAATTTTTCCACTATGTCAGACTCATTACTGGTAAGTGAAGATGGGGACGAGCACGTAGGATGGCCTTACGTAAAAATATCACCAGAATGATTGAGTTATTTTGATGATCCACCCGGAAAAAGAACATCCTCCACTATACCTTTAATCAGCCACTTCTGGGTAGGCTCTGATGTTATGTGCGTTCAATGTAAGCTCGGACTGGGAATGATTTTCGGCCCTGGGATTTTTCCATCTACACCGGCCTACTTATGGACCCATCTCAGATGTGAAACACAATACGAATACACATTGTGGATTAACCAATCTATCTTCAAGCATCACACGACAACCATAACCAATAGCAGATGTCACTGACTCACGTTTTCCAGCCCAAAAAATTTTCATAAACCGCCTGGATATAAGAAATCTCACCCAATTTGATCCAAAGTCTAGTGATCTCTTAGGCAATTAATCTAAAGAAAAAAAAATGTTTTACCCATAGACGGCCATCATAAACTGCCAGATTGGGAAACATCCCAACCTGGCAACAATGCACGTAAGACGGGAAACGTTTAGCCTGACGTAGTCCGACTCAATTCTAGTCAGAATATGAGTCTGATACTGCTCCATAGAGCTGCGATTATGGGGCGTGTTTCGAACGAACCAGGAAAAAAAATGCCTCTGCACTCAATTGGACAGACCTACAACCAATAAGAGCAACGGAGTGCGTGACGTATGTTAAGCGAGGCATAGTTGTTGTCCACAAAAATCAAAGCGTGCAGTTGCACGCCTATAATAAGAAGATGAGACTTGATCGTGTTTCTCTGTTCCTCTTTTAAAATTAATTTGCTGTCGATATCTTCTAGAACAGACCTAATAGCAGAATCTACTCACCTAAACTCTCCAGCAGCAGCCATTATTGTTGTCACCCATGCGCGCTTTGGTCACGTGGTTGATTAGGTTACTGTTGGTCATCTGTCCATCATCGTATAAAGTCCGCCCTGACAATTTGATTGGATCGCCTGACAGTGGGCGATCATACTTGCGCTACTATGGAGCAGAGCCAGACCGAACTTCCCGACCTCAAACTTTGTGGGCGGGACTAAGTTCGGAATGGCACCCAGGCTAGGAAACGTTAGCCTTTAGATGCAAAAACCCATCATGCACTGCAACATATTTTTGCCAAATATTCAAACATAAATTTGGAAAATATAAGAGGAACATCTTAGTTTGGTTTAAAGAAAGCATTTTACTTTTATTATAATTTAGTTTGTTGCAAGGATTTTACAGTTTGAAAAAATAGAAAATGACACCATATGCCAACCGTCTCAAGAATGTGCATGACAAGGAAGGGCTACATATTGCATGCATCATTTAGTAGTTAATGTTGTATTACTAATCAAGCTTTTTTAATTATTTACTGTGACAGGTAGGAGCTTTGGTCGTAGAGTAAGTGTTGGGCCTGGTATGATGTAAGGAGGGTCGTCCCTCGCACGCTGAAATTAGGACAGGCCCACCGGGCAAATGCCCGGTATCACCGATTACCAGTCCGAGCCTGGTTCAATGATAGCATTCACTCGCTCTATAGATTGCTGGAATCCCAAAGACTTCCAGATTAGTAACTATCAGAACATTATTTGTCATCTGTTCTTATTTAGACTTATTTATGTCAACCTACTTCATGTTGACAGACAGGTTCAAATTAAGGGATTTTACTGTTCAGGCAGTAATCAGTTTGCAGACAGTAGATCATGAACATGGGAGGGAACAATGTTTGAAGAAGAACCAGCTTTGGTTCAATTTACAATGAAACATATGAAACCATTTCTGGATCAAATATTAAACAGTTTGGTTTTATGATATGAAACTACTGAGATGAAAAGAAAAACTGACCCAGGATATTTTTCATGATGTTGTAACCATTGAACAGCTTAAAAAAAAAGGCAAGATCCCATTACTCTGATCAAAGGAGGACCGACTCTTAGATGCTGCAGTCAGGCTGTGGAGCATTTGAGAACCACTTGAGAAAAGATTTTAATGATCCCACAGTGAGGAATCTCACTTCTTAAATTAGCTTACAAACATATGAAGTGGAAGGAAGTCAACGCAGAAAAACTAAAGAGTGTTTAAAGCAGAAATCTTCAACTGTTTAGAGACAGATAAAAACGAGCTTAAATTTGGTCCGTTATACCAGCCTATTTACAATCAGTTCTGAAGCACAATTGTTGGATTAAAAGTGTTTTTGTTTTTTGTTTTTATAAGACTTTATGCAGATATTAAAAATAACTGTACTGAACACATCTGCATAAAAACCTTGTGATGTAATATAATCTTAGACATGTTTTCATTACATGTGAGCTTTAAAACCTTCATAATTAACAAAAGCTTTAAAAAGTCAGTCTAAACATCGATTTTTATTTTACTTCTTGAACTGTTTTAAGAGATATAAAATCATTTTACATTAATACTTTATTTAAGGCATCCGTTATGAAATTAAGCAGCTACTTTATTATTTTGGGGATAAGAAGCTAAAAAAAAGTTTGACAAAGTGCAGCTTTAGCTGTTTATTAAGCAACAGGAAACACTAAAAACATCAGATTAAAGCCAGGTTTTAAACTGCAACAATTATTCTAAACCCCAAGTGTGACATGAACCATGTATGATTATTATGTGGAAAAAAATAAGAAGCTTAGCTATTGCTAAGTCTTCTTGCCTTATATGCATCAAAAACCTATTTGGAAAGGTAAACAGATAGATGGTCAAACTGTAGACAGGCAACAGCTGCGGTATGTTAATGGTTGTTTACAATAACAACACTTAAAGGGCTCCTCTCTAAGCTCTCGATCTGTTACACACCATGTTATTGGACTGATGTTGGTGGATTTTTTTCCAGGAAGAACAGAAGTTTTAGTAAATATTCCCCTCTGCTAGCACGAGTCTGAACGAGTGGCAGTGGAAAACAAAACTCTGCAAACAACAAAAAGCTAAATACATTGTCTTCAATGGCTCTTTTGAGGTCGTTAGAAATACATTTTAAGAGATCCGACTCTCCTTTTCCTGAACAAAAATTCAAAGCTATATGTGTTTAAAAGCTTTGAACTCATTTTGGACACGTTCAGTTAACTGGGTCGCCTGCCTCAGCTCTCAGAACCTCTAAAGCAGATGTTGCTTTCAGCAGCAGCTAAATGTCTTAGCAGAGCAAAACAATCCTTTCTGGAGAACACAAGATAAAATGATTTAGAGAAAAAAAGCATTTCATACATCTTTATCTAGGCAAAAAAGGTATGATATGCTGAGTTTTCAGTAAAAGGGATGTAAATAAGTGATGCTTTATGCTAAACAGTCCTTTTCCGCAACAAAATAATTTTTTTCATAAGGGAGAAATGCTGCCATCTAGTGGAGGTGGAGTATAAACAATGCAGCACTTGTCTTTCTTTTTTTTCCCCCCCAACCATCTTAATCCAGAAGCAACAAAGACAAGAAAATTTTTTACTTTTGACAAAACAGAAACAGCATTTATTAAACAAATACCAAATAATCAGTTCCTAACTCCTGGGTTTCTTTATTAACAACTTCCCTTTAGGTTTTAGTAAAAGAGACTGTTTGTGCTCCTCCATCCGTTTGGCCTCTTGCTGCTTCTCTTCCCAGACTTCTATTCCTCGGTCCACCTCAGAGTTCAGCATCACAATACGCCTCTGAGAAAAGAAAGAAGGGAGCTGATGGGTGTGAAGGAGAAGGAAACAGCCGAGCGACAAAGAGAGACTTTAATAGTGGTGCTTACGGCCAACTCTTCTTTCTCTTTCCTTCTCCTCAGCTGGCCTTTCAGTGGAGGTGCCGGACGCCCGTCTGTTGGCAAATTATAACAGAGATCAATGATAAAACAAAATGTGGATTAAATATATTATTTCCCCCTCTAAGTCTTTAAAAAAATCAAAACATAATAAAAAAATGTGACGGGTACAGAGAGGAGCTCCAGTGGAGCGAATCAGAACTGAACTCTATGGTTTGTTTCTTCTCAGTGTGAAACCGAGCTGGGCTCCAACACGGGGATTATCACCCATACAGCGCCTGCCAAAGGTGTTACATGCCTTTAACTTCTTCCCTTTTTTGTCACAGAACAACCTTAAATAAAGCCCAACCCCTTTCAGTCGTCTTCAACAATCACCCCATTGCTAAACAGAGTCCACCCTGTAAGGAATTCAATGATAATTCCAGCTGCTTTATGGAGGCTTTGGAGGATTGTTATAGTGAACAAACAGCATCAAGTTCAGACGTCGATTGCGTTAAGATTCTGTGTTAAGACTTGAACTTATAAACTAAGAGTGATGCTTCATCCATCCTGAAAGAACAACCAAAGCTATTCTGCAAAGAGGACTTAGCCTAGATGTGCAAACCTGGTAGATACATTCCTAAAATAATCAAATGTTGTTTTGGTTTAAGCAAACAAACAAAAAACAAGATGTAATCCCTATTTGGGTTTCTCTATTACTTCAGTTAGATACTCTGAAGTTTGTTGGAGTAATGAGACAAAATTCGGAAAATGTTCACTTTCAAAAGGCCTTTTCCATCAAATAATACCTTAATTACATATTTATGGCTGAATATCCAATTTGCTGTTACTAAGAATGTTATTATTATATACTTATTCTTTCCAGATTCACAATAGTTATATTGCAAAACACTGTATAGTATTTTATTTCACTTATTCTGCTATTTTATACATTTTTTTTTTTTTTTTAAGGGCCACATTTGTTAGTTAGTTTGCTTTAATCTTTTGCTGCTGTAACGCCATCATTTTTTCATTTTGGGACAATACAGTTTTTTTCTATTCTATTCTAATACTTTTAAATTTAAAGTGGCAGTGACAGCCTAGTGGTTAGGGCTCAGAGCTTGGAATCCTGAGGTTGTGAGTTCCAAACCCACTCCCAGAGACTGCCACTCTGGCTCTCTGAGCAAAGACCCTTAACCCCTGATTGTTCCCCAGGCGCCACACAATGGCTGCATGAGAGGGAAATTTCTCCAATGTAAGATCAATAAAGTTTAATTATTATTAGTAGTAAAATACTTTGTTTACATGTTTCTATTCTTTGCAACTTTGTTCACTTTAGGCTGTACACAGGGTTTATACCGGAAGGAGTAACTCTAATTTAATGCTCTTTTAATGCCCTTAGAAATAATTTTAACGTCATCAACAAGTACCCATGACAGACAGATAGATAGATAGATAGATAGATAGATAGATAGATAGATAGATAGATAGATAGATAGAAAACATGGCAAAATCCTTCATCATCTTTACCATGGACAGGCTGCAGCCTTTTGAAATTTGCATTTTCCCCATTCTGTAGCTTTTTCTCTCTCTTTTTTTTTTACATAAACCATTTTAAAAGGCACTATAACCACATTTAATGAATTTTAATACCAATTAAAGGTACACTATGCAACCGGTGTTGATTTTCCAGTGAGGCTCCCTCCAGAGGGCGAAAGTAAAAGTGCACTGTCGTAAATATGCACAGCTGTTCTCCTGGTTTCTCCGTCAAGCCAGGCGCGGTTGTTTTGAGCTTAGCACCGAATGACTAACGCTGCGTTCACACTGGACGCAGCTGGCGCGACAGAAGCAGCGAGTTTACATGCAAAGTCAATGGTTGACGCGCGTCAAGGCGCAGCAAAAGGTCCCGCGGCGCGTTTTGAGCACCAGGCGCAGCACGTCTGAGCAGCTGAAGCAGCGCGTCGGGTGCGTTTAACGCAGGGAGAGAGACACAGCGCTGATGATCACTCCTCTTAAACAGTTTATTGACGCCTAAATTAACTTAAAATGCAGAAATCTGCCGGCAGAATATGCAGTTTGGATTATTTAGATGAAAAACACCTACCAGCTGCCGCGGTGAACCGCTGCTGATGAAGGGATCCATACTGTCGGCGCCCCGCTGGTATGTGGGGGTCTGAGTGGCTCCGACAGAAAAAATATTGAAGGCAGGATAACAATCTGAATGAACTGACGGCACTGATTACGTTTTCAGGTGTATTTTCTCACTTAAACACATTAAAACTACTTTATTCCCACTGATCACAGCAAATATAGCTGCAAGGCAGAGAAAGGATAGTGAAGCTCCGCCCAACGCGCGTCAGACACACTTTTGCACCGCGCAGCCAGAGCAGCAAAGCTGCTTCAGCCGCGCGTCAGAACTAACTGGTACAAGCAGCAAAAATGAAGAGGCAGACGCGATTTTGCTGCTTTTGCTGCGTGAACGTAGCATAACTGCACAAAGATTGCCACTGTGCTAGCAACGAGAATGCTTATAACTGGGGGGTGTAGCAGTTCTCGCCATAAAGCAAGACTGACTCTCACGAGACTTCTGAGCCTGTGGGTGCGGGTCGGTGCTCCTGCAGTTGCAGGTGCAGTATTTCCCCCACAGACCACCAGGGCGGCCGAGAATACCTTTGTTCAACCTGAAATGACTCATTTAGTCATCCATAACGTTATGGAACATATTAATTAACTGAAAAATGTTGCATAGTGTGCCTTTAAGGCCTTAATATAAAAAATGTATGACTGTGGAAACCCTGGTGAAATGGGACTCCAACAGGTGGGGAAAAAAAAAATATATATATATATAAAACAAATATTGCTATTAAATAGGAAGAGATCTGCTCTTTTCTGAACCCCAAAAAGAATCCAGAGGAAAGACAGCAAGAGAAGCAAAGGAAACCAGTAATCAGCTAACAGTTGACCTACAGTGAACAACAACCTTACTTCTTACATTAACCTCCATTTAGATCATCACAGTTTATATTAATTACCCTCAAATGACCAATCAGGCAGATCCGTCAGGGGTCCATACTCTGTGCCACTCCTGGACAGTCCATGTCTGCAAAACAGAGATAAAGCAATACAATTCTCCATGCAATTATTACAATTCCAGTCATCATTATTTAGCTTGAAAATAGCAGCAAAAACAAAGTTAATGGAACTGTATCCAAAAGCAAACTTAATTCAGCATTAGCTGTTTATAAATCAGAATCCATTCATGTCAGATGTTTCAGGTTAGTGATTTCAGTATAATTTATGTGTTTAAAAGCAAAATTACAAAGCAGTTTCTAAGCCGAATGTTGTTAAATCTGTCTGGAAGCTCATTTAATTTAGTTGGGAACAAAATTATAAAATTCTAATACAATTTTTAACCACTTTTATTAGAAATTTGTGATATTTCAATGCAATGCGGCAGTGGTTGCAAAACTTACTCCGTTCTCCATTTTTGTCCAGCTTGTACTCCGCATGTAGAGCTAAAGTGTCTGCTGGAAAGCCTCAGAGCTTCAAAGAGAAAATGAAGGAAAAGTTAATATTTAACCCGAACCTCCAAAAGCTGCTAGTTGATATAAGCTGATACAAACAGTTAGCATCTGCGTTAGCAATTAGCTTCCACTGTTAACACAAGCAAAACTATGAACAGCAAAAATAAAAACAACAATATAAAATAGATATTGGCAGTTAGAAAACTCTTCAATATTCCGGATGAAGAGCTTTTAAGTTTAACCTCTGTCTCACCTGAACAGCACAAAGTCCTGACGGGCGCCGCCATGTTGCCTGTACTATTAAGTAATGACCACCAGGGGGCGCTAAAGACGCACTCTGCCCTGGTCCTATTTCCGTTTACTTCAGCAATATACACAGCTTGAAAGTATTTGCCATGGTTTATAATGAATCATCATTACAATGAATTATATTTATTTAAACCTTCGTTTTCAGGCTGGAATGAAGTTTCAATGCACAATATCACAGAAATCTAAGCTCAATGCAAAAGCTTTAATTGCAATTTCTGTGCATTTTTTTCTTACTAACACAGGGTAGATAGAATATATAGAAGCAAGAATGCAGAATGCTTAAAGCAATGTCTGTGAATGATTTCTACAAAATTAGATTAATTTCTACAAAGTTTTTCACAGACATTGCTTTAAGCATTCTGCAAAATGTTTTGATAGTTTTAAGTCTAGGGAAGATCAGAGAAAATGAATGTCAGTCTCTTTTATCCTTTTGAATATCTCTTTCCCTGTTCGGTTAGGATCTGTTGAAAGATTCAACAGTGTCCAAGTTTCAAACATTTGACTTAACAATTCCTCTCAGATGAAGGGAAAAAGCTTACAATGTCCCGGAAACACTAATGCCCTAGCCTACGATAAATTGGAGACACTGGAATGCCAGTTTCTTTCTCAAGCTGCAGTAAAACAAGCTATAAATTGCGAACATACCCGACTTAGCATCTAGTATGGCTCTGTGCTAAAACTAACCATTAAAGCATGATTGAAATTTGCATCATGTAGAGAAGTCCACAAAATTCAACACAGAGCATCTCTGCTTCTCTTTTTATCTGTAAGCCAGCTTTGAATGCAGTTACGTTTGGCATGCAAATCAACCTCTGTCACTATATCGGTTTACGCTGCCCTCATACAGGACATTTTCCTAAATAAACCTAAGAGTTTCCGACGTCCTGGGGAACAATGATGACAATTTTAACTGCAATTTCATTGCACTATATTTGAAGTGAGTTGATAAAGTTAAATTCATTTAAATGTCAGTGTTTCTCTCTGTGATAAGATCATGTCTGACTTTAAGTCTATTAAGGCCTTCTGATAATGAATCCCCCTTCTTCCAATTCTCAATGTGCTTTTCTAAATAAACAGACTGGTATTTGTTTGCTTACTGAACATTTATACACATAACGGCATGCTTATAAAGATAACTTTTCATTAAGCTTAAGCCAAGCAACAACACTGGAGCTGTATTTCAGATCGTCTCATTTTAAATCAATCAGTCAGTCTTATAAGAAGCCATTAATCACAAAATAAAAACCTTAATCACTGTTTATAAATACACTCATGGCTTCTGTATCCTAATTATGCGTATCTACCTCCTGCTTGTAAGTGCAGAGGATATGTGCAGTTCAGCTCTTAGACATTGTTCATTACTTTATTTTGTCTCTGCCACATTCAGTATCTAGATATAAACAGACTGTCTTGCCTGTTTGTTTACCCATTTTTTTGTTAATGCTAAAATGTCACATAGATCTTGCTTATAAATGCCCATTCCTCATAGACTTAGGCAAGCTTTATTGTCATTTATTTATTCATATGTTATCATTGTTTTTTCTATGACTTTTACTTACATCCTTGTTATGTCTTTTGTTTATTTTATTATGCAGCCAGTGAACCAAATTAATGTTGTTGTAATAACAGAGTCCAAAGACAACAAAAGAACCTCTCTAATCTCATAATGATCATCTGTAGTTTTTTTTTTTTTACATTTTTTTTTTATATAAAACGGGCAACATTTAAATGCCTTCAGAGCAGCCTCCTCATTGTAAAGTACAGAAGTGACTGTATCATGGTGTTGGGATCGTTTTACAGCAGGAAGTTCTGGTGTTTTACACAGAATAGTGATTTTACATGGGGGCAGAAAACAAAAGAATAACACACAAAAAAGAACAAAGCAAGAGCACATCTTTTTAGTTTATCACGTGAGTCACAAACTGGTAATTTCTATTACCCGGTATACTAAAATAATTGTTCAAGTAAATTGTAAAGTTGCAATGTTTAATTGGTCTTAGTAACAAATCCTTAACAGTCTCGTTTTTCATTGCATGTAGTCATAACAAATTGATTTGGTGTTACATTACAAAAAAGTATTTAAAAAATTAAACGTTCCTTAAAATCAATGTATTAGTCCTTAAAGGTATGAAAGAAGATTTTCCTCAGAAATTAAGTGTCCAGATTCATCTAAAATGACTAAATTGATGGAAGCCTTATTGCATTTATGCCCCCTCGCAAAAAAAAAAAAAAAAAAGAAAAAGTGGTGGTGCCTACAAAATGCTGGAGATTGGGCTGTTTTCCAGTGTGGTCCTGTTTCTCTGATTGGCTGGATGTGCTCTCTTCATCCTCTGACATGGGAGCTGGCTTGGAGCTCGTCTGCCTGGCTGTGTGTTTCCTGGACGGAGCCGCCTTTTACAGCTGCTTTTTGTGTCTCTGCTTTTGTCTCCTTGAACCCCAGTCGGCCTCAGCAGATGGCCGCTCACACTGAGCCTGGTTCTGCTGGCAGTTTCTTCCTGTTAAAAGGGAGTTTTTCCTTTCCACTGTCGCTACAAGCATGCTTAGTGTGAGGGATTGTATTTGAGTCAATGAGTCGATGCAATCAAATGGTTTTCCTTAGATAGAAAACTTTGAATCAATTTGACTGTATGATCTGGTTGAACTGTAAAGTGCCTTGAGATGACATGTGTTGTGAATTTGGCGCTATATAAATAAACTGAATTGAATTGAAAACATCAGCCAATCCACTTTGCCTACTGTCCAAAGTGGATTGGCTACTTGTTTGTCGATCAAATATTTTGCATACCTGCGCCATGATGTTATTTACGTAGGCTCCAAGCATAAATCACATGCTGTTTGGCTAGCGATTCGCCTTTGCAGCAAAGCACAAAGAAGTACTCCTATGCTTTTTTTTTTCTGCTGCAGTTTTTTTTTAGCTATTTGTTCCCCAATTTTGTGCAAACTGAGGCATCAATGACCAAAAACAATCACGACAAACCTAACAGGAAAAGAAAGCCTTTAAATTTTGTCAATTGCTCTGTTCGAAAACCTAGGACGGTTCCTCCAAGGACGCGGTCTACCTAGACTGGATCCTTCGAAGTCCTTGAAAATAAGGAGACCGGAAGAGTTTTGGCTGTAAATTCGACCAGGTCTACCCTTTGGCGGGTTTTACCGCCGTATGCTCTGTTGCATAGCAACCGTGAACGTTGACACACAAAGCAGGAAAAGAATGAAAACAGAAGTTTTCAAAACTGTTTATTTATTTATTTTTTATTGTGAGGTGAACGAAGACTACACTCACAAGAATCCAGAGTGGAATAAATGTTCCAACCACCGGGAGCTGGAACAAATAAAATCAAATGTAATGATATAAACCTCAGTCAGTTAAATAACCTGCTGCTGTCATTCTGCACATCTCTGATGTTGCTGCTATTTTCAAATATCCATCACTGTAAAAATGTCCATAGCTGCATATTGGTTATTTATTTCCCATTTTTATATTGTTAAAACACTTTACAGTATTTTATTGTTTATATTTTAACTCTTCCCTATTATGTTATTCTTATACATTTTTCTAAGGTCCACATTTGTGTGACCATTTTCAATAATCTTTCTGCTGCTGTAAATTTTCCCATTGTGGGAAAATAAAGGGATTTTCTATTCTATTCTATAAAAGGGGTAGAAAGATATAAGTAAATCTAAACAATGTATGTATAAAAAATATATCTGCAAAATCTCTAATATTCAACAACAAAAAATACAAAGTTAAGCATATTGTGCAAAACAGCAATAAAAAGATAAAAATCCTATCAGATTTATAGTCCCCACCCTGCAGATATATTAGAATCTATCCTTAAATTACAGCCAAACCCATTTACACAGTAACAGATTAAAACCTTTAGATAGACCAAACATTACCGCCACATATCTGACTCAATAACCATTAAAACAACTATTTTCATTCATTTCAGACGGAACTATTCACAGAGTTGTATTATATTAAACTGAACTTCCAATTTTCACCACTGTTCAGCGCCAAGTAACCCTTCCTCTGATCACAGCTTGCTTGGTCTCGCAATGAATCCTGGGATATCCAAGAATACCGAGGATACATCGGACCCGTCCTTTAAATCGGGCAAAAAGAAGGACGCATTTCAAGGCCGCATAACGAGGACTCTTGGAATCCGACCAGACCTCGGCGCCGCGCTATGACGTAATCGGCCTTCGAATCCGGTCTTCTAAGGATGCGTCCTAGGTTTTCGAACAGAGCCAATATAACTCGCAGTGATAATGCCAGCAGACACCTCTTCTTCTCTAGATTTCCTGCTGACTAGGTGCATCCTGCCTCTTTGCTGCCTCTATAGGTGAGATACAAATTACCGACGGAGGCGTTTCCAGCATAGAGCATTTTTACAAAAAATTCAAATTCAAAAATACACAAGCAGCCGTTGGACATATCTTCCGCCACAGAATCGTCTTTCCTGCCTTTAATTAGAGAAGGTAAATAAGATGACTTGCCAAAGGAAGGAGGATTTTGACCCTTAAAATAAGATGATTAGATATCATGCACTTGAAATAAGATATAAGTTTTTCTTGATTTACTTTTTTTTTTTCTTTTCCAGCTTTTATTGTCATTACACTCTCACAAGTACAGAGTAATGAAATTCACTCTCTGTATTTAACCCATCTCCTTGGTAAGCAGTGGGCTGCCATTGTGCTGCACCCGGGAAGCAGTGTGGGGTTAAGGGTCTTTGCTCAGGGAGCCAGAGTGGCAGCCTGTGGGAGTGGGACTTGAACTTAGGATCTCAGGATTCCAAGCTCTATGCCCTAACTCCTAGGCCGCTAATCCCTAGTTTTTTTTGTTAAGGCTGCCAGCCATGGTGCGGTGCCAAAGGAGCAGTCTGGGGTTAAGGGTCTGGCTCAAGGACCCTGAGTGGCAATCAATTGGGCTCGAACTTAGAAACTCAGAATTCAAAGCTCTATGCATATAAATAATCACATCTCCAAATTATCTTAACCACCTCCATGAACAAATTTAATAAACCCATTTTTTAAAACGATGTCCTGTGGATTCCATAACAGATTCTTCCCCACTGACATTAGACTGCTGAATGTTGTGTAAAATTGTTTATTTTATTCATAAAAATTTATATATGTGTTAGAACTGTAAATATACAATCATATTTTTATGTATTTATTACTGTTTTCAAGGCTGCATTTTACAAAAATGAAATTGTCTAGAGCTGTTTTAAAATACATTTATTTTTATTTATACTCATTCATACAAAATGACAAAATAAATGTGTCTAAATAAATCTGTCTAAGTTTAGAGAAACTGGTTTATATTTGAACTTCTGCTGTTTATGTTTTCAGTACAGCGGCCACAACCAGGACCAGTTCTACAGGGGCGCTGGCACCCGTTGGCCCCCCCGTCTACAACCAGCCTTGATGTTATGTGTTTATTTGTATGCATTCAAAGCTGCTTAAAGAAAGAAAAAAAAAAAAAAGCAGCCAACATTCCTCTTGGTAAGTTTAATTACTAAAGGGTGTGCGGTTAAATTGTGCGTGCCTAACCGGCCTTTGAAGATAATTAGAGAAGCACAGGCAGAGACAGAGGGCAGGTGGAAGAAGCTGCAGCTCATCTGCAAATATTATGTTCTTGAGTGAATTGTGTTGGAACAATGACTGACAGAGGCCTGCCGCTCTCAAAGCTCTTCAAAGTGCTGCTTTTGAATGAGCAGCTCCGGGACTAAGCTCTAAAGAATTTTCATGTTAGCTTTTCAGACAAGTTCCCACTTGCAGCCCCGGGATGGAACGCTTGGTTCGGCAGAGACAGGCTGCGGTCGCTGCCTCCTCGGTGAACCGCGTGCGGAGGGGAGGGGAGGGGAAGGGAGGGGGGACACAGTTAGCCAACAAGGCTATTCAAACACACCAAACCGGACACAGTGGTACTATATCAGCGCTTGTTGAGTTATGGTGTGTCCGTTAACTGCCACAAAAAGGCCGGAATCAGGCCTGACTAATGCCGGGTTGTCCTCACACAGTGGCGGGATGTTTACTCTGAATCGTCCTTGGAGAACTCAGACTAGCTGCAAAAATTCAGCAGCCTCATCACACCCCGCTGTGTCCCTGCGCGCATTCCACAGCCCTAGAAAGTAGTCTGGTTGCCTAAACAACGCCATGCTTCTGGGGGTGGGGGCATTACATTAATAAATCTTTTAGGTTTTAGTGAAAAAAAAAAAGTTTGAATTAAAATTTCTAGAAATATTTACAAATTAAAGTAATAAAAACATGTTGTATAATAAGTGGTGGTTGTGTTAAAAAAAAAAAAAAAAAAAAACAGATTTTAAACAACTCATTAATATTTCTTATTAACAGCATGAAAATTAACAATTGAATATAAAAAGACAGTATGCCATGTTTCTGTGTAAAGTTAACTGTAGCAAACACTAACATTAATTTATTATAATTCCTTTGAAGTTCATAAAAAGAAAATTAGTCTGTGCAATCTCAGGAAAGACAACGTGTTCTAAAGGTTACAAAAAAACCTTTTTTTTAAAGTTAGATTGAGCTTTGACAGTTGAACCCCCTCTGCCAGTAAAAAAAAAATCATAAAGGTTTTATAACATTAGGTTTGTATGTTTCTATTAAATCTTGCCTCCCAGAAGGATTCTGTAAAATAATCCTCTGTCACCTTGTCTTGAAAACTAAACGAAAAAAACTTTTGTATATTTGCATTTGCCACAGAGGATTTTCCTTCTAATAAAGAGGTTTAAAAACACCAGAGATCATAAACACACGGAATCTATTTGTTTTAAGAATAGCAGGTCATCTGTACAATGGTTAAAAGCTGAAAGCTACACTGATACAGCAGAAAGTAACCTTTAAGGCTACAATAAGATGAGGGAAAACAGGGACCAAAGCATTTTTTTTCTTTTGTTTGTTATTTTTCTTTTATCATGGTCTGGCTTGGAAGTTATTTTCCATTGAAATGACTCAATATACCGCATCCGTATAAAGAGATGATTCACAATAAGCATTAACCCTGGAGCAGTAGGTGTTGACTGGCTCCCTGCTTTCAGAGTGCTAACTAAAGCAAAACAAAGATAAACATGCAACTACTAAGCTCTTCTTGTGATCTTTGAAAAAAATAAAAGATCATGTTTAATAAAGACAGTTTACCCATATTAAAAATAAAAACATGCTTTTCTTTCATACAACCCTAATTTAGTGATAGTTTTAATCCTTCATTTTCAGCTATACATGTTGGTTTAATTGCTATGGAGGCCTCATTTATCACTAATTATAATATAGGAGAAGTTCTTTTTTCATCATTTTGAAAATTAACATCAGTGTATGATGCCAAATGTGGAGGTGCAGATTAAATAAGCCTCAGTTGACATTTTTCAGAGGCTTGGCATATTTAAGATGGATTGATGTTTGTTTCCAAAGGCAATTACTATCAAAGGTTGACAGCATATCATTTAACACAATGATCTTCATTCGCTTTCATCCTCTTAGAAGCTTTTGTGAATGATTGCTTAAGTCTTAAGAAGTCCTAGCAAATTGTAAGTATATGGAGCCTGGTAAGTGCCAGTGAGTAAAAAAAGAAGAAGAAAAAAAATCCATTCTCCTTAATTGAAAAAAGAAGTGTTTCTGGTAACGTATTGCATTCTTGAAATATAAGATATCACAAAATCAGGTTCTAAAAAATGGTCGTGATGTCAAGTTGTAAAATCTGATTTTCAGTCTATTGTAACTGGGGTGTAAAGAGGTATAAAGTAAAAGATTGTTCTGTTAATTTTTTGGGATTTATAATAGTGTGTTTTTATCTAATGCAGTGTGTTGGGATGTCAAGGCTAATAACAATTGGAATTTTGTCCTTCAGGGCATTTTTACTTAAATTTTAACTTGGAAATTGAAATTCTTCTGTAGACTCTCCAATCCATTATATAAATTAATTATTCATTTAAATGATTAATGTTTTCTTTAATGAAGTCTTTGCAAGTCCATACAACATGTTAATTCTGTACAGACATTCGGTGAAATTTAAAATAAGCCATTAACACGAATCAAAATTGAGTTACCATCTTTGAAACACAAAATTTACTGATCTGGCAACTATAAAAAAAATAAAAGTAATAAAAAAGAATTAATGCTCTAAACCCCTGGAGCATGTTTTAGCTTCCTGTCCACAATATGATATGCATACTTAAACTAGACTACGGTGGCCCTGAAGTGCAAACTGCAACTACAAATCTAAAAGCGCAACTACATTAAGAAAAACTACATAAAGCAAAGCGCAACTACATTAAGAAAAACAAAACTACATAAAGCAAAGCGCAACTACATTAAGAAAAACAAAACTACATAAAGCAAAGCGCAACTACATTAAGGAAAACACAATTGCATTAACCTACCGGAAAAGGTAGGTACCAGTGGGAAACATGAGACATCGCTGATTGGACGACGGCGCCGTTTGACCCTTGAACCGGAAGTTGCGTCGTCTGAACAGTCCAGCTTCTTTTAAGTGTGTCTTCAGTGGACGCAAACTAACTGAAATTTCGTGATTAGTCTTGTGCATATCCAGTATCACCTCGTACGTATGTCCTGATTCAAAATGTTCCTGGATAACGGCAGCTATGTTTGGGGCGCCGACAATATCCATGTTTTCAAAAGCCGCAGCAGGCAGAATGACTTCCGGTTCAAGGGTCAAACGGCGCCGTCGTCCAATCAGCGATGTCTCATGTTTCCCACTGGTACCTACCTTTTCCGGTAGGTTAATGTAAATGTGTTTTCCTTAATGTAGTTGCGCTTTGCCTTATGTAGTTTTGTTTTTCTTAATGTAGTTGCACTTTGCTTTATGTAGTTGCGATTTCCTTAATGTAGTTGCGCTTTGCTTTATGTAGTTTTGTTTTTCTTAATGTAGTTGCGCTTTGCTTTATGTAGTTTGGTTTTTCTTAATGTAGTTGCGCTTTGCTTTATGTAGTTGCAATTTCCTTTATGTAGTTGCGCTTTTAGATTTGTAGTTGCAGTTTGCACTTCAGGGCCACCATACTAGACTCTCCAATCCATTATATAAATTAATTATTCATTTAAATTTTTGTTTTCTTTAATGTCATCTTTGCAAGTCCATACAAAATGTTAATTCTTGACAGACATTCGGTGAAATTTAAAATAATAAATTTAATAATAATTTACTGATCTGGCAACTAAAACAATAAATAATAATAATTATTATTATAAAATAATTAATGCTCTAGACTCATGGAGCACATTTTAGCTTCCTGTTCACAGTATGAAACAGAATTAACATAACTTCTTTTCTCTCCGTTTTTATCCACCTGGCACTTGTTGAGCTCCATAAAAAGGTGTTCCGGCCTATTGGGGAGGGGAAACAAGCCGCCCCTGATGAAAGAACAATACGCGTCAAGTTAAACAAAACAACACCTAACCGACGGAAAGGACCCTTGCAAGTTATTTTAAAAAATAAAAGTAAACGTGTTCCAGTTATGTCCAAAAATACCTAAAAATCTTAGATATTACTCGTGGTTTTGTGCTTCGAAACGCCCCAATGCTTCAAATGCGAATTTTAACTCGAGCTTTAAATCATTTTTCCCGCGCTTTCCAGTTTTTCAAACTTAACGTTGACTAAAGGACGTTTATTTTGAAACCCTTAAACCGGAAGTGTCCGTTTATGTTTTAGCTTCCACCAAACTAAATGAAGAAAAAAAAGAGGGGGAGGAAAGTTATTATTTGAGGGTAAAGAAAGAGACAAAGTTGGTGGACTTTACGGTGCTCCCAGGGAGGGATTTTTTTTGTATTTATCTGGACCGACTCGTTTAAACTCAGCGCGGAGTAACGGAGCGCCGGTTAAAATCATTTCCGTTTCTGCTTCCAAACTTATCAGCTCCTACTGGATCCTTTCTTCTTCTTCCCTTTTTTTTCTTGCATCGGGGATGATAAAAGCAGCCGAACCGAGCGGATGGACGGACCAAAGGGACGGAGTCCAGTCGGTACCCCGTGTGTATCCCCTGTGTTCCTTCATTTTTGTTTTTTAACGGCTGCATAATGTTACTGTGAGCGCGTGAGATGAGCGGCAGACGTCGGCTGAGTCGACTATCTGAGCACAAACGGGTTTATTTTCTGGTCTGCACTGGACCCACATGAAGAGGCATCCTGCTGAACTTCTCTGCTTTGTGTTTTTCAAAGAAAATAAAAAATAAAAGTGGACGCTAATGAGACTTTAGGAGTGTTTTTTTTTTTAAAGGAGACCATCCAGATGCGGCTGGTCGACAAAGGAAGCCCTCTGTCTCCATAGGTCACTCCAAAGTATCCATGGTTCTCTTATTTCTGGCTTGAAGTTTTTGGTTTTTTGAAAATATTTCCATGGAGTCTTATCCTCCACAGCCTACTTGTGTCCGTGGGTTTTTCACACGTGGACTGAAATCATGTTAAAGACTTGAAATGTCTTAAAAAGTTTTTTTTTTTTTTGTATTTTATTTATCTGCTTTGTATTTATTGTGTGTATAGAAGTTGTCCTTGTAATTTCAAGAATATTTCTTTTATTTCTATTTTTTTAATATATACATGTATGGTTTGATTGAAGCTTTTTTAAGTTTTATTTGAGCATCTCTGTTCTGCTGTACATCTCTCCCCTCACACTGTATCATAAAGCAGGGCTCTGATCATGGACAGGCCCATCAGCAAGCTGCTGGGGAAGCTGAAGCTCACCGACGCCGGCAGCGTGAAATTCAACAGCTCCAAGAAGAAACATGATTCTGCCAACAACTCCAATAACAGCAATGCCAACTCTGGCCCCTCCGCGGCGCCGCCTGCCCCCGGCTCTGTGGCCGCCTCGCCCTCCCGACCCGGACAGTTCTCGCTGGCCTCCTCCTCCACCACCAGCGATGCCAATGGGTCGGGGGGAGGAGGAATGGGAATGGGTCCTGCTCCGCTTCTCACGTCAACGCCGTCCTCCTCCACGCTTGGCGCCGTGGCTCCAGATGGGGAGCAGCCGCTCCATCCTTCTACGTTAGCTCAGCTGAGGAGACCCTCCCTGCAGCAGCGAGCTTCCTGCTACCTGACTGAAGGAGTGGATTCCCACTTGGGACTGACTCCTGATGGTGACCCCCTGGGAGCGTTGGGCTCCAAAGCCTCCCTAAACCAGAGACGTTACTCCCTGGAGCTGCAGAAGCTGGTGAGACGCCAGCAGCTCCTGTCCCAGCCGCCTTCTCACTCGGTCCCACCGCTCTACCCTGCTCCTGCTGCGGGATACGGACCTGCTCAGAGAGGAGGAGGACTGATGGAGCAAAGCTACAATGAACCCGAGCGGCACAAGCGCTTCTCCCTCCAGGAAGCCCTTTTTTACAAACGCCTGAGCACAGGAAGCGAGGTGTGGGACAACCCCAGGCCGGCTTCTCTCTCCCATCCTCCTCATCGGCCTTCTGACATCCCAGGGGGGAACGTGGCCTTGTTTTACCCTCCTGGTCCGACCTTGAGCCCATGTTCGTCGTTCAGCCTCCAGGAGTCGGTCCTGGTCAGCCCCAGGTCCAGCTTTGCCTCCAGTACGGCCAGCGGCGGAGGCGGGGGGAGCCCAATGGGGAGCCGCTGCAGCAGCAACAGAACCAGCGGTATCAGTTTAGGCTACGACTCCCGGTACTCCGCCTCAGGAGGGCTCCCTGTCCAACAGCAGCCAGTACAGACAGGAGGGTCTGCGGCGGGTTACGGAGCTCCAGGGAGACCCGGGGGGACCTCAGTAGAGGCCTGGACTCAGTACCTGGAGGGCGGGGCTCGCTCAGGTGCATACGACAGCCGCCATTCGTACCCCCCTGCCGTGGGAAGTCCAGCGGCGGCGTGCTACCAGGGAGGGCCGGAGTGGTGGGATGATCAGCAGGCGGGGGTGAGGGGGAGGGATGCAGGCGCCATGGGTGAAAGGGCCCGATACTCTGACCTGCCTGGGACCCGATACCAGGAGGAGCTGACCCGACTCCTCCTGAGAGATGCTGCTCGAGAAGGAGGGGGGCTGCTGGAGGGGCTGAGGCTGAAGGATCAACCTCTTCCCCCAGCCCCGCTACCTAAACCCGGCACTACGACGCAGGGGTCCGCTCTAGCCGGCGGGTCGCTCAGACCTCAGGAGGACTCTGGAGGCGCAGCCGGAAGGGAGAGCGGGGAAAACCGGCAGGAGTACTTTGGTGAGACGGTTTTCTTTCAGCTAAAGCTTTGAACTGCTGTTCCAATATGGCCGTTTCCACTCTATAGATCTAGAGATGCACCAATAAGAAGGCTGATTCTCTGGTTGATGAACCTCGAAAATCTCAGAGTGCATCAACCATCAAAACGTACGCTGATGGTCTTTTAAAAAAGTTCATTACATTCAATAAGGCTTTAATCCACATCCTAGTAGTAATAGAGCGACACTTGATATGTATGATATTCTTTAGGGGGAGAAACTGAATTTGAGGTCAAAAACCTCACAGAAAAAGGGAGTCGGCTGGAGAAAAAACCCGCCGACTTGCCTCTCTAGTCAAACCACAACCCTAATTTTATTTTATTTTATTTTTTTTTTTTTTTTTTTTTTACAACCCTTTTTTCAACCCTAATTTTAGCCCCCGCTCCCAAAATCCTGTGTTTGGTCATCCAGCATCTGCCTCGGCTGTGTAATTATTGTTGTCTGGTCTCAGATCACAGGTTTGCCTCCGAATGAAGGGGTTGCATGGAAAGATGGACAGATTAATAGCTGAGAGAGAGCATATTGGTTAAATGGATGGTGCCACAGAAACCTGCAGAGACACGCAGGGTCAGAGCGCATCAAGCGTAAGAAGTGAAAGAAATGAAAGAAAAACAAAAAAAAAGAATCCAGACGAGGAGAGGAGTTTGGCTGGAGATCTTAACCAGAAAAAGAAAAGTGCAGGATAGACAAACAGACGACAAGAAAGGCTTTTATCTGTGAACCTAAAGAGGGAGGCAGGTGTTGCAGATTTAACCACAGCAAATATATTTCAAAAGCATGGCCTTTTTATATGAGAGAATGTTTCTCTGTAGCACAAATTACATGCTTCCACATAAAGAGCGACTCCAGTCATTACTGAGTCACACAAGATTAGGACTCAGCCTTTCTGTGTGTTTTTTTTTCCTGTGGCAGGGTGTGTTTCCCCACCTCCAGTGACTTTAGGCCACAGTAATGCTGTGGAAGAGTGTGTGTGTGTGTGTTCAGTGCAGCCTCAGAGTGTGCAGGGTTGGAGAGCTGTAGCCTGTTTTTCTGCTCAGGTATGTGTGCCCAGAGGGGACATACAATACTGTACTCCTCTCAGCCATTTAAGACAGACGCTCTCAGCTGAAGTCGGCACACCTTCAGGAAAACTCCCCTCTACCTGAACAGGAAAGTCGAAACAGAAAGCCAGAATTAATTAAATGTAGAGGAACAAAAAAAACATATCGACTTAGACACTTCTTTTAATTTTTTGTGAAAAAAAACAGGCACAGCTGGACTGGAAGGTTTATAATTGCAGTGCCGATATAGTCACACTCTTGATATCAGAAAATAACACAAATCCAGTGAGTCTGGTTTTTAATTCTGATATAAACCAACACAAAGTTGTGTCAAGTAAAATGAAAATCATCCATCTGCATTCTTTTTGGATGTATCTTCACCAGCTTTATAGATCTAGAATTGCTTCTTTTTGCTTGTTAAGCTTCAGACTTTAACTAGACCATTCTATGGTTTAGTCAGAACTAGTAGCTCATGCTGTATCTGTAAGGTTGTTCTGCTGGAAGACCCTACCCCAATCTTTTTTTCCCCCAGATTCTGTGTTTTTGCTCAGCCAGCTTTTTCTTAACTCTGTCCCAGAACAAAAGTATCCAAAGCCTGATTCTGCCTCTATCTGTGGGGTTACTGCATGGGCGGTTCAAGGCGGGGGGTCAACAGGAGCCCCTGCCCCTATAGAAATGGTCTCTATATAATAAATAAATAGATATATACTGGAACAGAAATTGCAACTGATAGGTCCCTTGAAACCAATTCTTTTTTATTATTATTTTTGCAGTATTATTTTGTTGATCATTAGAAATGTAAGTTTTTGCAGTTTTAGCTGTTTTTATCTGCTAGATCTGAGGTTTATAGAGCTGCAAACAGCTTTTTCGTTGACTTTATTTTGGCAGATGAGCTTCTGCCTTTTTCTCTGTTTCATTTTTTGTTTATTTATTTTGTGTTGGTCTGTGACATGAAATTCCAGAAAAAAATAATGTATTGTTTCTGCATTGTTGTTGTACAGTTACAAAATGGCGCAAGAATACTTTTGCTAACTATTTGGGAGGTTTTTTTTTCCGGGGGGCTTTGCCACAGGCCTGTGTTTGCTCTGAAACATCAAAGAGGTCGTCCAAAGCCTGAAGCAGCACTGAGGAGGATTTTTTTTTTTATTTGTGTGGCACTCCCTTTACCACATTAGAAGAATGAGGGGAACAAAAAAAAAAAAAAGCTTGGTGCCGTCCCTTAAATAGATCATAGAGAGGCCGACCATCAGACCACCAGGGCCTCTGTTTTACATTTAATACGCTGCTTGAAGATGCAGCACCGTTTCCAGGTGCACTGCCACTCTTTAGGTCATTGATGATGTTGCTGTAGTTAGTCAAGGTTCCTAATAATTCCTTCCATTAAGTGTTTGGGATCTTCTTTTATTCAGGAACTTAAATGTAATCTTAATTATTCCACCCACATTGCAGTGTGGTAAGCCCTCACCATGATGGTGCCGTTACCATGTTTGAGAGAAGGGGCTTTGTTTTTAAGTCTTTAAAAAAAAAAAAAGGCTTACTTTGATGCTAGCAATAGCCAGAAAGCACAGATTTTACTGTCATCAGACTACGAATCTGCTTTCCATGCGGGCAGCTGCATGAACCAGTCCAGTTAGAAGGTGTTGGCTCAGTGCTGGTTCTTTATTTTTAAAGTGCTTGATGGAGATGTGTCTTAAAAAATGAACAATTCTTTGGGGAAAATATTATTGAGATAATTGGCAATGTAACAAGTTTAGATGCTTTGTGACTCCTGAAGTGGATAAAGAAGCCCTGTAATTAAGAAAACATCCCAAATTGCTCTAAATGTGGGGGTTTGAATGGAACTCAAAGGCTCTCCTAAGCCTCCAACTCCTGAAGAAAGAGCGCTCTATTCTGCCAGAAGAGCCAGATCCGGTGGAGTTTCCCTTTAATAACAGACGCATGAGTGGATGAGCAAACAGCCTGGCATGGGGAGCCGGGTTCGAGCTGCGTGAAAATCCCCTAGGTGGTGCGAACGAGAGGATTTACAAGTGTTGACACTGCGTGGAGTTGGGTTTCAGGGACACATCCTCCTAGAATGCCGTCGTAAACACTAAGCGTTTTCTTAAACCCTCTGTGCAGGCACCTGCGTGAAGTGTGGGAAAGGCGTGTACGGGGCGGATAACGCCTGCCAGGCTCTGGATCACCTCTATCACACTCGCTGCTTCACCTGCGTATCCTGTGGTGAGCTTTCCTGCAGAATCCCTGTCACACCCTTCATTTATAATAACCTCTTTTTATATTATTTCATAAAATGTTGACCTCCTCTGCAGGACGCACCCTGAGAAACAAGGACTTCTACAATGTCAACAGCTCTGTGTACTGTAAAGAGGATTACATGGTGAGGGTTGGGGTCAAGGCGTGTTTTATCATCCTCCACCCTCTGCTTTTTTCAGCCGCCGTTAATCTGCGTTTTTGTTTTAATTGCAGTTTTCGGGATTCCAGGCGGCTGCTGAGAAGTGTAGCGTGTGTGGTCACCTCATTCTGGAGCAGGTGAGGGAGGGGGGGGGTTCCCATTCACACCCACAAACATTTAGATTAGATTTTAAAAGAATCCACCAATCTAGTTAGGGTTCTTGTTTTTTATGCATTTAATTCATCCCATGTTTTCTCATAATTCCTTTTGAAGACCTCTCCTGAGGACGGAGAAATGTGCTGACGTCCCTCTGTTGGCACTTCTTTGGTTTCCCACGATAAGATTTTCTCTGGAATGTTTGCCTTGGCTTTTTGGTAAATAGAGTAATGAGGCTGAGCGGTGATTAACTGTAGATTTTATTTATTTTTTTTCTACCTTATATGAACCACATAATACTTATAAATAGAAGTCAGCCTGTGAGCCGCGGGAACTGCTCTTCACACGAGGGGTTCCAGGGATAAAGATGTTTATCTCAGTCACTTGGAATTAAAGGGACATTTTTCCTCAGTCCTCTTTTAAAAAAAAAAAAAGATATTCCCAGGATTTATTTCCTACCGCATTGTTTAAAATCTCTGACCTTACATTCCTCCTCTATCTATGCTTCCTCTTGGTGTCCTTCCTTTTATTCCTTCCCTTCATCCTTTCCTCTCCTGTATGTTCCGTCTTATCCGTCCAGCCTTGCCCCTAAAAAGGAATGAGAACTCAGGAAAGTGAAGTTTAGAAAAACATGAAAATATTTTAAATGCATTGGTCTGATTAAAGCTGACCCTTTATTTATTTATAACACAGATGTGACCTTTTCCAGAGTTCTAGCTCATTAGCTCTACATGCATTTTTTTAACACACTAGGTTTCTGTTAGCACATGTTGGAATTGCGCATTTAAGGTGTATTTATATCCTAATAACTGTTGCTTAAGGCGGTATGATCTGTGAGATGTATTAGCAAACTAACCTGAACCCAGTTTTAAGTAGTCAAAGAAAACACCCACACATTGATAGAAGCTATTTTTTTCCCCTTTTCCTCAGATAATAATTTCCGTTTGTGTTCAGATCCTGCAGGCTGTTGGGAACTCCTACCATCCCGGCTGTTTCCGCTGCGTGGTTTGCTCCAAGGCTCTGGACGGGGTGCCCTTCACTGTGGATCAGAACAGCAACATCTACTGCGTCGCTGACTACAACAAGTGAGGCACAAGAGTTGATTGTTTTTCTATACTTTTATTTTTGCAAGTTTGATGCATTAAAGATGAAGTCTTTGTTTTTTTTTTCTATGGCAGGTTTATATCTTTTGTTACAGCAAATAAATCTCCTTATGTTACATTTGCAGGACTTTTGCTCCAAAGTGCGCTGCCTGTTTGCAACCCATCTTACCGACTGAAGTGAGTAGCCTCTTATGAATAATCTGTTATGTTTTAACTTTTTTTTTTTTTGCAGATTTTCCTATTTTCAGTAGTTTTTTTAGCAGTATCGTTTAGGAATATATGAAAGAGAAGGAAATGATGATGATGCTACATTTAAACGCAGCCAACAAAGATAAAAGCAGAGATGATAAACTCTTCAGCTGAAGGATTTAAAAGCTCCCAGTTCAGAGGGAAGCAGTTATTATTAGGGGTAAACTAGTTCTTAGCACGGTTCATTGAATGATTCAGACCTGCTATTACTAGCATAATTGTTAGCTACAGCCCTTCTTTGCATTAAGCTAATGGTCCACATCATATCTTTTAGGTTTCCCATAGCAACATATTTTGTCTGTGTGCTTTTACAGGGTTTCTGCGGGTCATTAAAAATCATTAAGTCTTTAAATTGTTATTTTTTTAAATTAAGGCCTTAATTGGCATTTAAAATGCTTTATAAAAAAAATAAATAAATAAATTTTTTCAAATATATCAGATTTAACCGGTTTCACGTGTTTGCGTGGAACTGCTCCTGGTTGATCCTAAAGCCATATCTTCTGAACAGAAGCTCGAGGCACAGAAAAAGATAGAGAATGCAACTTTTAAAATAAGTGGCTGGAAAACGAGACATTTGGGCATTAAAAGAGCATTAAAAAGCATTAAATTAGAGTTCCTCCTTCCTGTACAAACCCTGTTTTAAATTTATGGCTCTATATGACAGTTTATATTGAATTATTTTTCTTGTATGTTGTTGTATGGGGGGTGGGGGAACAATTGTTTCTGACTTTCTGCTGATTATTATTGTAGATAAATAAAAGAACAGTGGAGCTTAAGGAGCAGGCAGATATTTAATTTATGAAAGCAATTCCGGGAACCATTTTCTCAGCTGAGAAACTGATTACAAAAAAATTAATAATCCTGCTCCTGTTAAAATTGTCTTTTTTTTTGTCAAGAAAACAATCTTGTTGTATACTACAGCAGATAATTATGCTTTGTTGAGCCAGACAATTATACTCTGATTGGGCTTCATTTGTATTAGATTGCTTAAAATGACTTTCCTTCCAGATCGTTTGTAGATTCCTAAATTAATCTGCTCATTTAATCATGTTATTAAACCCTTAACTATATTGTTATGCCTCCAAGTCTCTATGAAACTTCTAGTTAATTTTCAGTTTCTAACATTGAACTGAAGTCAGTTTCATGCTCTTGTGCACAACAATTTTTTGGAGAAATAAAAAAAAAATCAGATCAAAGATAATAAAAATAATCCAAAAGGTTATTAAAATTTAGGTTCCAGGGAATGTGTGTAATCTCCCTTTCTAAGTGAGTGAAGGTGCTCCAGATTATTGCAGCTCTGTGACCTTTCGTGTCGTCTCCCAGGGCAGCGAGGAGATCCTCAGGGTTGTGTCTATGAACAAGGACTACCACTTCGAGTGCTACCACTGTGAGGTGAGTTATCCTTCAACAAAAGGCTTCTCCTTTCCAGGAATGTTATGAAACAGAGAAACGACTGAGCTGGCTTCCCTTCCCCTCTGTGCGCATTCCTGTTCTTATCCGAGTATTTTGTTTTTTCTTCCTCTCTCTCTCTCTCAGGAGTGTGGCAAGCAGCTCTCTGATAAGCCCGGCTCTCAGTGCTTCCCTCTGGACTCTCATCTCCTTTGCCACTCCTGTCACATGAGCAGAGTGTGTGGCACTCACAGCGCCCCCCCGACACACTGAGCTGACTGCTCCAGCTGTGGAGTTTTCCTTTTTTTGTTTTTCTTTTTAAAGGATTCATCAATACATGTTCTCAGTCTCTTGTGTATCTTTTAAAAATGAAACTGCTGATGTCGAGACATTTCATTGGTAACATTTCATGTCTGATTGGTTCGTCACACGTGCTGCCTGCTGTACTCTAGTTTAAAAAAAAGGGAACAAACTACTGCTTTTTAACCCCGGTGTTGCTACTGTTTGCTGTAGAAGAACAAAAGGGATTTTTTTTTTCTTTTTGCTGAATTATGTTGTACATACATTATGACTAGCAAACTTTTGCACTTAAATTTGACTTTACTGTAAGTTGTGTTACATGAATCTGTGCAAGCTGAAGAGAAACAGTAACTTCTTGTACATTAAGTATTTTTTTTTGCGTTTGTGCTCAGATTGTGTACTTACAGAGACTGGTCACAATTTCAATAAAAGCAAATGTTAACAGATGGTGAATGGTCACCGGATCTAATCATTTGCATGTACTGGCACCCCTTTACGAAATATGGAAATGAAAACCTTAAAGGATTATTCATTTACTGCAGATGCGTAAAGTATTTGAAATATTTAAACTCTACAACTAAAGTTTGATTTGACCTTTGTCATACCTCATCCAATGTAGATATCCTGAGCTATTTTCTATTTAAAGCTGCTATAGGCTTAGACTGCTGGATGACATAGGGACCACTTTTGATCATTTTGTTTCTACCTCTATTCTCCATTCCTCCATTCTGCAGTAATTAATTTCCCCTATAACTTTGCATCTCTCTGCTGTTTCTCATAGTAGCTTCATCTGGTCTGTTCTTGTTCTGTTCTGACTCCATCCCAGAGATATGTCAGCTGTGCTGCTGCTATTAAAACCTTTGTATATAGATGTTGGCACTTAGCCTGTTTCTCTGACTAACTGTATGTGCTCTCTCATTCTCTTACATGGGAATAGGCTGAGCGTTTGTGTGCCTAGCTGGGCTGTAGAGGTTCAGAGTTACCTTTTGTATGTCTTCTTCTCTGTCCTTGAACCTCAGACAGCCTCTGCAGAAGTCTGCTCACATGTAGCCTGGTTCTGCAGGTTTCCTCCTATTAAAAGGGAGTTTTACCCCCCCCCCACACTGACCCTGCATGCATGCTAGGTGTGAGGGATTGCTGAAGAGTCGACAAAAATGCAATCAATCGTTGCATTAAGCTCATGCAGGTGGAGCATATCTTGCAGGTCAAAGCCTGGATGCAGTCATCTGGTTTTGCTTGACAAACGTTGGACCAACCTGACTGCATTGTCTGTAAAGTACCTTGAAATATGTTATATAAATAAATGTAATTTTAATTGGATAAACGAGAATTCTATATGCATCTTCAAATTTGAGTTCAACTGCAAAATAATGTGATAACAGAAATATTGGGTAACACATGTAAAAACATAATTGGATAATATCAAATTTGAACGAGGTTTGATAGCTAACAGCAAGACCTCAACAGCATACATATTTAAATAGGAAAAATAAAGGTAGAAGTAATTGAGATATGGTATATTCGTGAGATGCTACAACGTCCAAGTTGAAAACAATGGTAAACATTTGGTGGGAAAAATATTGTGAAATAAAGTTTTGTGTTGATGCACAGATTGGAGATTTTATGGCAAAAAGCATAGAAATGTCTTGGTGACCAACTCCATAGCAACCATTTACATCGGATCTAGAGGCTTTCAGGAGAGAAAACGGTTCAATAAGCTTTGGTTGCATGAGACTATTATTAGAAATTTCAACAACTAACACTCCAGCTGGGCTTGGATGGAAACTGAAAGCAGGATGAAAATAAAGGGGAAAACCAGCAGCTGATTGAGTATGGAGGAGGAGTGATGCTGTGGGCCTGATCTAGAAAGACCCGTATCCCTGCTATAAATAAGAGTCAGGCTTATTGTAGCAGCTCCTCAACCAGAGAACGTGCTGTTCAGATTTAAGATTTTAATACAACTCATTTTGGTTTGGAGTGTATAAAACGATATCTGAAATCATAGGAATAGAATGTCAGCCTTAATATGTATACCTCAATTTTTGGAACAATACCACTTGATAGCATGGGTATCTCTAGGTTCAAAGATATACCGGTAATAGCCTTTTCAACTTTGATAGCTAGAAGCAAATTCTTTTACACTGAAAATGTTCCTGCCCACCAAAATTATCTGAATGGATGTCTGATCTAATGTACCTCAAATTAGAAAAGATTAAATATACATTAAGAGGGTCCAGTGATCGCTTTTATGGTGTTTGGAATCCATTAATAAAATATTGTTAAGCTTAAGACACTTCCTGAGAATCCCTAAGAGTAAAGCATCGCAATCTGATGGCCAAAACCTACAGAAGTACATATAATAAATACGGCTTTTCTTTTGTGTGTGGTAGGAATAAGTGTACATATACGCACATACATTGTTGACTTTTATTTCTGTGTTTATGTTACAATTTAGTGGTTGTATTTTGTGTTTGTAGTCAAGTCCACTGTTTATTTTGTTGTTTTCCTCTGTTTTTTGGTCTAAGATGTATATGTGTATATAACATATGAGTGTTTTATTACTTTTTGATCTTGTGGGTAGGGGAGGGGGGGTGTATTTTGTAATGTTTCAAAAAAAAAAAAAAAACGTATCTTGAGCCAAGAATGCAACTGTTTTAGTGTTTAATAAAAATATTAATATATATATATATATATATATATATATATATATATATATATATATATAAAAACATTTAGGAAATGAGTGGCTAGAAAAAAAAAAAAGATTACATTTTACCCATATTTAGGCATAAAAATGATTTAAATGTTTCAAAATCAGACAGAAGAGACTAAGTGATCTTGGATTTCAATGAAATAATCTTTAAAGATTATTCCAGTATTAGATTATGCTATTAGATGGGAAAAATAATCCAGAATCTAAAGCAGACATCGTTTCAATAAAGCCCCTGAACAATGATCCAGATGGTGTGGTAAACCCAATTTATTCATTTCACAAATTCTTGGTACATTCAGCACTTGGATGGAGAGAAAAAAAAATAAAAAGCAAACTAAAAACAAAATTAAAAATATTAAAATTCCAAATATTAAGTATCAGAAGATGAACCTTTGACCTTTACCTAGATGTGACAGACCAGGCTGCTGAGCTGGGCTTCTGTCCTGCCTTCTCAAACCGGGCCTAGCGCCTCCTCTCCCTGTGCTCCTTGTACGGGTTACAGTGATCAGACCAGTTGCATCGTTGAAGAGAGAATAATATCACCAACTTGCTTCAACACCATAACCATCCACGGCTGAGAAAATAATCAGCATTCAAAAAAATAAAATAAACCTTCGATTCCACTAAGGGTCATTTGTAAATTTTGTTGTATATACATAGATAGATATATTTGACTCTTGATGCTGAACAGTAAAACAGCTTCTAGAAAACATGGGTCACGGTCGGGGAGCTATTTCGGACTGGTTTTATTACAGGGCTCTGAGGGAGGAAGGAAGCGTGCGGCCACGAAACTAAATTAGTCCCGTCCTAAAATGAAGAGGGAGGCATGGAGAACAAACCGCCCCCCCGCTACTTCTCCTCAGCGGAGAACTGAAGCATGATGAAGAGAATTGGTCGAGACTGGAATAGAGTAAACGAAGGATGAAGACAAACGGACACTTCCTTATATCTGAAATTATTTCCTGTATGTGAACGCTAAAAAGGAAGGAGGGGGGGTATGAGAGAAGTGTGGAAGACAACACTGGCGCCATGGTTGAACCGTTGAAAGCACGGTGGAGCAGACGGTGAGGACATTTTCCTTTCATGACTTCCTGCCTGTTGCGTCCTCTGCTACTCTGCACCCTCCCTCTCTTTGCCGCATCCTGCAGCTTCCGGCCCCCTCAGCGGCGCCTGTCCCGGGGGTTGCTGCGACTACGGGAGCGCCGTCCGCTGCCTGACACCGGCGAGGCTCGTCTGGATCGGTGGCTGCTGTCTCTCCTCTTGTCCCCTTCTCTGTCTCGGCTGCGCTCGGCGTCGGCTCCTCTCCCGGAAGGTCCACCGCTTGCTGCCACGGCGCCGACCTCCTTCTCCCTCCCCTTGAGCCTCTCTTTCTTCTCCTCGTCACGCTTCTTGCTGTTCTCCTCGTCTAGCTCCTTGCGCCTTCGTTCGCGCTCCTTCTGCCGTTCCACGCGATCTAGAATCCTCTGGTTCGCCTGCGTTTAGACAACAAAACAAGTTTGTTAACCAGCACAGAAAACACAGAATAAAGAATGAAAAGTGAAGAAGAGCATCTGCGCCACCTGCTCCTCGGTGAGGGGGAGCCAGTATATACAGGGAGCTGCTTTGGTCTTCAGGAACAGGTCGTCTAGTAGTTTAGCAGGAGGTTCATCTTTCTCTGGTGGAGGAAACAGACATGGCTCATTTCAGACGTCGCTTCTCAGTTTTCTACCTCTGTGTTTCCGTTTAATGCGGGTAAAGTGCCTTACCCTTCTTATCAGTCTTCTTCTCCTTACTCTTTGCTCTCTCCCTCCTCCTCCTCTCCCTCTCTCTGGACCGAGATCGCCGCCCCTCCTCTCCGGGTCTGGCAAATTCCCGGACCTTGTCCCGGTCCCACTCTCGCTCCCCTCGAGCCCGTTCTCGCCGCTCCATCTCCCTCTGTCGCTCTGCCCACAGATCCCGGACTCCTCTGTCCCGTTCCCGATCACGCTCCCGCTCTCTGTCCTGCTCCTTGTCCCTGTCCCGTACGGGCATCAGAGGGGGCAGCCGGGGCTGAGGAGGAGCAGCAACAGGAGCAGGGATGACCTGCTCCTGTTCTTTCTCTGGCTTCCGGATGCCTTTATGATAGTCCAGCTGTTAAGGTGGAAAAACAAAAACATTTCTACACATTAACATCTAAAACATAAAACAAACACAAAGGGCTTCATGAATGAGACATTTAGGCCAGAAAGTCAAGGCCTCCAGCAGTAACGGGGAGTAGACGTTTTTTAGGCCTCCATTACCTCATCTTGCTCACAGAAGTCCACACTGAGCACCTTAGGGTTACTAGCAGGCCATTTGACTCCATGAAGAGCCGTCCTGGTGGCAACCGCCTCCTCTGTTGTTGTGTACTGAATGAAAAAGGACAGAAGAAGAGCAGAACTTTCAATTTGGGACCATGAACCAAACCTTAATGAAGGGATTACAGAGTGGATGGTGGAGGGATTGAACCGCCACCAAATGCTCCAGAACACCAGCCTGACAGAGCAAACATCTGTCCCCTGTTTGCTCAGCTCCACCAGCTATCTTTAGCCCTAATGCCCAACAATGGGCCTAATGGAACATCTCGCAGCTACTTGAAAACCCTCCCAGAGCTTCTGTTTTAGACTTTGTGGGGCTGGTTGTCATGGGAATGCTGATTAGCCTGATAAACCAAATTAAATGTGAGATTAAATGTGTAATTTAGTCTCGCCCTGATGAATAAGCATTGGAAGATTG